AATTGGTATTTGAAAATCATAGAATTGTCTATTTTTTACAACCTACAAAATGAACGCGTATTTATTGCGCTGACTGTTTCATTAATCTAGTGGTCATAAGCGTGACTGTTGATCGTCGGGTACCGGGTTCGAACCGGTCGGGTACCGGAAGGGTCGGGCCAGCAATCTGTTATTGGGTTATTATGTCAAGAAAACCTCAGTAGCAGTCCGGGTTAGGAAGTTGGCTGTGTTTTGCCCCTTGTCTAAAAAGGCAGGTAATCCGTTAGTCTTGCACCCGTCACGTCGGATTGCCGGCCCATCGAACTGTGAGAATGAAGGTATAAAAAGTGCACTTGCACGCAAGTGCATTATAATTCAGTCATGCGCATATGACTAGTCTTCGTCGAGATTGGCCGCAGTAACCGATATTTTGCCTGTAGAACATTATCGCACATTTAATGAATCTTCTTATTCTTGTTTCAAAGAAAAGAAAATTAAATGATTTATCATCATCATCATTACAGCCCTTCACAAGTCTACTGCTGAACATAGGCCTCCCTATAACACAAAAAAAGGTGTACATTGGTCAGTGACGTGTTAGTAAAGCTTTATGTTCGGTTAATTAATTTGTATTGTGATAATGTCTTGTTTGTGCTTTAGATATTTTCTTGATGATAAATATGTCATTAAATTAGTTCAGCTATTTTATAACTTCTTGGTTATATGCGGGTTTGAATAAGTTTCAAAGTCAAATAGGTTAAAATCGTGAATTGTGAATGTGAAAGTGGTATTTATTCTCCTTTGCTTTTTCTTGATAAAATACGGTGCCTTCTGTTACAGCTAAACTTGCTTTGAAAATAAAAATTAGTAGCCTATAGTAGTTTAAATTTTATTTTAGGATGGTCATTAATAATTCCGAAAATTATATTATTAGACATCTTTCTTATGTTATCAACACAGATCAATTTAATAAAATTTACGGATTTAATCTCGATTTTTTTGGTAGTTATATTTTGATTCTTAGCCCTCAGGGGTAATAACGTACCTAAATTTTGATTTTTAATTGATAATAATATTTTGCATGCATTTCCAGATATATGATTCTTAGGGAATGCTTTAAAGTCATGTCTAGTTTCTAATTTATTGCATTATAACGAAAATTATATCATTTCTTATTTTACTGGTATACCGTTAAAATTTCATTCTGTTAGTAAATAGTTATAACACTTTAAAAAAAAAGTTATTATTTGAAAGATGTATAAAATTCCTTTAAATATTTCTTTAGTGCGTGAGGTGTATAAATAACTATTGACGCTACTATTTAACGCTCGCGTCACAGGGAATTATATTATAATAGCACGTGGCCTGATTAACAATGATAGACCTAACTCTACATGCATCGCACTTGACTGATATTGTTGTGTAAAAATCACAAAAACGTTAATTTATGAGGAGTTTATCAGTTGTTAAAATTGCGCAAGTTGATCCCAACATATATCTATGGTATACTATAAATTTTATGCGATGTTATGTTTCGAAACTTGTAAATTTCTTAACACATATGAGTATGTAGAGATATAGGAAATAAAAAACTCACTTTTAAAATTTTACTCACCAACATTAAATATTTGCACACAAAAAAGGTTGAACATACGAACTAAATGGTGTTCGACTAAAGAGTACTGCAAAATTTAATAAACGAGTATTCATTGCATACAATGTGAGTTTAAATTGCGATGGTTTCATTTAGATGTGTAAAAAAAATATAGGCTTTACTAATTTTAAAACCATTTCGTAATTGTTTGTTTCTAAATTTTGCTATTTAGAGAAATTAAATATAAGAGATAGTGTGTACTTAATCAAAAACTCATGATATTAATTGACTTTTATTCCACCTCCAAATGACGGGTGGTGAATTAAGGGTTAACTGGGTTTGTTGCTGATGTGATACTTCAGGGTATTGAAATTTTTATTGCTTTCTCTGTGGTGCGCATCGGAAGCAGATTTCAACCATGGTTTAGTTGCTCTAGCTTCAAGCAGGAGTGCTACCGGGCCTGGGCAGACGCATAAACGTCATGGGATGTAAACACCAGCGCCCCAATTGTGCTGTAGACGTATGCTCCGGAGTTGGCACCGCTTCTAACGCGTCTTTTCCGGTATTACAACTCCCTAGGCGTAGTCCCGAAATCATGGCAGACGGCTTTTGTCCACCCGATCCCTAATAAAGGTGACATTTCAAACCCGTCTACTTACAGGTCCATTGCCATCACTTCCTTGTTCTTCAAAATAATGGAGTCAAAGGAAGGAAAACATCGTGAGGAAACCTGCATGTCTTAAAAATTTTAAAAATCATTCAATGACATGTAAAGTCCGTCAACAAGAATTAGGGCAGCGCGGAAAAATATTTATTGCTCTAAAGCCCTTAAGTGGTTGGCCCAAAAGCTAGCCTAAGCAATTTCCAAAATAGGTCTTAACTTTATGGTATTCATCGAATAAAAATAAATTTTACCAGAATATAATTTGACAGTTTTTAAAACGTTAATATTATTCCTATTTTGACTCATGCGGTGACTCAGCAATTTGGCTGTTAACCTGTTTTGAATAAATAAAAATAAACAATATATAAGTAGACTTGTCCTCTACGGTACACGAAAAACCACAAACACATATTTGCACTTATTTATAGCACCGAGTTCTTTACTGTTACTACCCTCATCCTATTTTTAACCCAGTTGAAATATTTAACTTCCGCTCCTAAGGCCACACACACTCTAAGCCAGTATTTGCATTTAGTGACCCAAAAGTTTTTGACTTCGTGTTCGTAAAGTCCAAGCATTGTTAGCTTTTATTTTGAAAATAAAACATCGTTAATTAAATTGTTTCTAAAGTCAGTTTCCGAGATAAAAATATTTAAAAAAAGTATTTGTGTATTATCACAAGTCTATAGCTATCTAGATCGTGTTGGTGGCTGCCAAGTTCGGAGTATCGCTGGACGAGAAGGACATCGTGTTTGCGGATTGTGTGGGTGTAAGGAGTCAGGGTGACAGTGCAGATGAAGTTAAGGGGCGGGGACGACACGTGGTGGTGCGCCTAGCCGCAGGCTGCGAGACGAGTTGTTACGAAGCGCACGCGTGCGACGCAATGCTACCACCGCTGATCTTGCTCTGCCAGATCCACCTTGTCGCTTCTATATTAATGAGCGTCTCTCAAGAGCTAATCGTCAGCTATTCTACCGGGTTCGGGAGGCAACAAGGCAACTGCGGTGGAGATATTTATGGACCAGACGTGGTAGAATCTATGCTCGTCAGGGAGATGGGAAGACTGCTCAATGTATCCGATCTGAGGCAGATCTGATACGTGTTTTTGGCAACGATGCAGTTAGGCCACCTTCAAGTTAATTTAAGGACGTTGCTATTTTGAATATTATTTATATTTGTACACGCACGCATATTTTTTATCAAGGATGTAACTCTTGTTGTAAGACTTATACTTTTTAGTATGATTTTTCTGTACGCTACATTTAAACTGTGTAACCTTTTGATTTGTTATGTTATTTGTGTTCACTTTAGAATTAATACTTTATATTATCATCGAACAATTGCTATATTGCTTTTCATGTTTATTATTATGCATAAGCTACAAAAATGTTCGTTTTGTTCTTTTATTAATGTATAAAAAATAATAATTTTATATCTATCAACAAAATTCTTAATTATCTAAATTCGCTTGAAATATTTTGAAAACGAAAGATTTTACGATTTACGATTTTTTTATTTTGTTTAAGGCGCAATGAGCAAACAGGATTATAAAGCTCCATCAAGTCGTTTTCAAGACGTTTTTGTAACGAATCCGGCATTTGACAGTCTAGATAGCATAACTTAATATCAAAGATAAATATAAACTGAATATACAAGGGATTTGTATCTCTTTCTGTGTGCGATTGCACGTTCGTGCCTTAAAGAACTGATAAATTTTGAATGTTAATGTGACGGCAGCCCGATATAATACACAAATATTTTTTTAACCGCCAAATGCCTTTTGTACGCCTATGATCAAGTCATACTTGCGTCGTCGGCAGCCGAGTTGCAAATGATGGTTATATTAATGAACAGGATATTAAAAGAAGAGGGAATGAATGTGATTGCGTTCACATATTTGTGTATTAAGACGAAAGTTATTGTTTTTGAAAGAGAAGAAAGTAAAACGATATGTGAAATAAGAATAGAAGGGAAGTTGGTCGAGCAAGTAGATGAGTTTGTGTATTTGGGATGTGTGTTTAGCAGGGATGGTAGATATGATAAGAATATAGAACGACGAGTGAATGCAGGAAATAGAGTGAATGAGGCTCTACACCCTATTGTGAAAGGTCAGAATGTGTCCAAAAAGGCACGTATGGCAATTCACAATGCTGTGTTTGTACCTAGTTTAATGTATGGTAGTGAAAGTTGGGTGTGGCAGAAGAAGCATGAGAGTAAAATAAATGCTGTGGAAATGCGGTCATTAAGGAGTATTTTAAGGATGAATCTGAATGACAGAGTGAGAAATTTTTTAATAAGAGAAGAGTGTGGTTTGCAAGATGATGTTGTGACCAGGATTAAGAAAGGAATGCTTCGGTGGTTTGGTCATGTAAAAAGAATGAATGAGGAAAGGGTGACAAAGCAAATGTATGTTGCAGAGGTGAACGGCGGAGTCGGGAAGGGTCGCCCTAGGCGAAAATTTATCGCCCAAATTGGCGATATATTGAAAATGGGCCAAATCAAGAGTACCTTTAACCGACGAGGTATTTGTAGGTATATGGATGTAGAGGAGGCGAGAGAGGTGTGTTCTGCGTGACAGGCGTGAGTGTTTATGTATATATATAAATGTTTTTGGAGGTTTTATGTCAATGTGTACTAAAATAACAAAGATATCAAAAAATCTAAATATGAAAATGATAAAAATTACTTGGGTTTTGTTAATAAACATTCCAATCTCGCTCAGACTGACATGACGCCCAGGATATCTCTTGTATCGTTACTTACACTTCCGTGTTGCTCCAACGATGGCATCTATAGCTGCCCGTAGAACCTCTCAATCTCACTCAAAATCTCAGGTATCCTGGTGTGGCGGGTGGAAGGAAAAGAGGAGATCTCCCGCCAGACAAGGTGTTCTGCCCGGGGAGCGGCCGACGCTCCAAGTGGTAGCTCGGGGCTATTCTATATATACTGCTTTTACTTCAGAACTTTGTTAGCGCGATATAGGCTTCGATATGTTTCGCTTGAGGTGCGACGACAGCGCCGCCACATAACCCCTCTTCTCAGACTGGAGGTCGATAGTGCAGTCTAGATGTCGACGAATTTGCAAGTGCCAGGGTATTGCCTTGTAGTCTGCGGTGGGTCGAGAAGAAGGCAAGTGACCTGCGAGAGTGCTGTTAAGCAGAGGCGAGCAGTAAGGCTCAGAGCCGTGCCGAACACTGTAGCGCAAAGAGTAGCTTGAAGGAACAGGAAGCATTATTATTCCAGTGCTGCGATGTACCTTTTGTAAAGCTAGATGGTTTGCAGAATGTGAAGACGGCAGACAATATCTGCTCGGGAGCGAATGAATGGGGTACTTGAGGACGAAGTCGAAAGCTTGAAGTTGTAGATTGCTGAAGTTTGTTGGTTGCGTGTTCATATCACGTCGGGTAGTCACCACTGTGGCAGGTGGAAGAAAAAGGGGAGATCTCCCGCCGGGCAAGGTGTTCTGCCCGGGGAGCGGCCGACGCTCCAAGTGGTAGTTCGGAGCTGTTCTATATATACTGCTTTTAACTTCAGAACTTTGTTAGCGTGGTTTAGGCTTCGATATGTTTCGCTTGTGGCGCGACGACAGCGCCGCCACACTTGTAACGATAGTACCAAATTCGGTCAACAGCTTGCCTTTTGTTTGACTTTGACTTTGGAGCCTGGGTTTCGCTCGATTATTTCTTCAATACGAGCTTTATTGAAGTTGCGGATGTGCCGCCGCACGCATTTGGAGATCTGTCTGTTCAGTTGCCTGTATGCTATCGTATCTGCTCAAGACTGCAGCTTCATTCAGAGCGGGAGCGTGACGGAGCGTTGACTTCATTAGACGTAAACTCTGCAACTTAACATTAAGGTTCAATATACCTTCAGTGATCGCTATCAGTTTTCACCCTCGCTATCACTGAGTCATCATTGAACAGTTGCCGTCTCGTCGTCATAATAAAGTCAATCTCAATTTTTGTGTGACCGTCGGGGCTTGATCAAGTCCACTTTCTGTGGGGCCCCTCCTGGAAGAAAGAGTTCATCATAAAGAGTTCCTCTTTCTCAATGAAGTCGGCCAGCTGCTGACCCCTTGGTTTCCGTTGCCCTTTCATGAATTTCCCTATCACTGTCCTCCATGTCACTGTTCGCTATTGTAAAAATATTAACTTATACAATAATGAACTTATTAATATATACATTAATATTAATAATTAATAATTAAAAAATATATGTTATTGATTAAAAGTAAGGACCTTGATTTTTATCACTTTAAAAGGGATTTTTAATCCACAAAAAAAAATGAGTAAAAAGTCAGAACAATCGTTTGCCTGCAAACATGATATTGTATTCTGATCTATGGTCTATGGCTAACGATACGAGTGAATTAGATAGTGAGTTCGATAATAAAAGTGTTGTACTGTAATTGACTTAAATTATTAATATAGGGTATATATGCGTCATTTTGAATAAAACTACTTTAACGGATTCTTTCGCATTAAATTAACTTATTTTTCATTAATACTCGATGTTTCGGGTAGTTTACAGCATCCATGGCCACGAGGGACTGAGGTGATTGACGTCCTGATGTCAGAGTTTGCGTGGAGTACCTTCAGCTTTTTTAATTATTAATTTTGGTCCGATCTACGCAAAATGAACTTACTGTGTCTTGAAGTCTTGCAGTGGTATGCTTGGGTTTAGTTAAAATTTTATTAATTACAGGGTCCCCAGCGAGTGATAGTACCCAACCTCCCTCTCTACTGAAATTAGGATGTTTTTTAATCTCAATAGCCTCACGTATCATCCTTGAAAGGAATCGATGTTCTTTCGCGAGAATTTGTGGTTTGTCAAATCTAACGTAATGGCGGGGGCCGTCTAGGATATGATCACAACTGTAGACTTCAAGGAACGTTGGTGTTTCACTTCAGCTATGTGTTATTTTACGCGCGTTTTGAGACATCGTTTTGTTTGCGTTATATATAAGATACCACATTCAAAATCAAGCTTGTACACTCCTGCATCTTGTAGAGGAGTATTATACCTGACGGATGGTAAGGACTGACTAATCTTTTTCGGCGGCTTGAAGAATGTTCTAATAGAAGCTCGCTTCAAGATGTGGCCATCATGGTGTGGTGGTTCGCGTAAATATAAGAAGTAATCAGATGTTTTAGTATTTCTTATAAATCCTTGCCTAACTTCGGTCCTACCGCATTGAGCGTTACATAAGTCCCGGTAGGTTAATAGGTTAAGTATGTGCTTCAGCGTTAGCATTAGCAGCTACTAGCGTCTAACAAAATCTGTTAGTGATGACAGGGTGATACTATGCGGCAATAAAAAATGCCGTTTTTCAATTCTTTTTTAAAATTTTTATAATTTGTAATGCCTACCTAGGAAAAGAGTTACTTGAAAGGCAATAATAACATAATATAATAAGCTTTAAGTGGTAGAGATATGCTGCAGCTATGTTATGGTTGTAGGACGAATAGGGTCAGCTCGACCTGGAAAAGACCACGCTCTCTCAACTCTCAACAGCAGGTTGTTGCTGCAGTGTTTCATATGTAAGTATAAACTTTTTATACTCTCGTTTATCACTAAAAGCTTAAAAAGCTTGTGCTAGAAGGAAACGTGCACGTTTTCCTGGCCCTATGACTTCCGCTTAACGAACTTAAGGAAAGGGGTTGTACATACGTATATACCTTAATAACTATACTGGCTTACTGCACTCTTTCGACCTAAACACAGCTGTGCACGCACTGCTTCTACAGACGGACTTCTATGCAAAAAAAGAGTTCTACCACCTTGTAATTTCTATTCGAAGACTTAAGAATGAAATTTCATTAGAGAATAATTCTGCTTAACAAAATATATCGTATTATCTTTTATTAAGAATAATTTTAAGTAATATAAATTAGTACTTGACAAATATTCCACCTGATTGTAAATCGTGGCGAGCTGAAGATAGTAAGGCGCACTTATTTATCTTAAAAATTTTCAACTTGGATGGTAAGACTAATGCTAGCAGGCTATTTAACTCCTTTGCTTTAGGCTTTTCAAACATTTTTAATACACTCAGCGGCACGGAATCTTGGCCAAGCGGTTATCTCGCGATAGCAAAAGCTTTAAGTGTTTCTGATGAATGTTTGTTATGCAGGTATGTCAAAAAATGTTTGCTCTCAAGTTCAAGAGGGTAATTCATTATGTTTAAGTGCACCATGACGAATTCTTTAATTTTTAGTTGAATCGGGTCATTTGAGCGACTAAGTTCACATTTTAAATTTGTGTGTTGTGAAAAGTTTACTGTAAGGTTATTCAATTATTGTGATCTTGTGTCTTAATTCAATAACTAAAGGTGCTTTAAAGCCAATAAAAATGCCATTAACACCAGCACAAGTTGCACAAGCAGTAGCATTAATTGACCAAGGGCTGACACAGCGTGAAGTTGCTATTGTGCTTAACGTACCACGGTCCTCAATGCAGTATTCAATGAAACGATACCAGGAGACAAGACGCTACACCCGCAGGCCAGGCAGTGGGGGCGTAAGGTGCACATCGGCCCGGGACGATCGTTTTATTGTTATGGAGATTTTGAGAAACCGCTACCTGACCGCTGTTGAGATACGCCAGCGGCTCCAAATCGCAAGAGACGTTAATGTTAGTGAGCGAACGGTGAGAAGACGAATGGAGGAAGTGAATTTAAAAGCTCGTAGACCAGCACGAGGTCCAGAACTTCTCAGACAGCACCGAGTAGCCCGACTTCAGTTCGCAAGAGAACATGTCAATTGGACCCACGAGCAATGGGCTAGAGTGTTGTTCACAGATGAGTGTCGAATAGCTTTACGTGCTCCAGACGGTCGAGAACGAGTGTGGAGAAAAAGAGGAGAGAGGTTTCTACCCATTACCACCACCCAAACTGTGAGTTTCCATGGAGGCTCAATAATGGTATGGGGAGGTGTAAGTTCCGACGCACGTACAGAGTTGGTCATCGTCGATAATCGGCTTACAGCTACTCGATACATCGAGGAAGTTCTTCAGGAGCACGTAATTCCTTATTCGGGATTCATTGGACACGACCAATTCCTCCTCATGCACGATAATGCACGCCCGCACGTCGCACATTGTGTAGAGGAATATCTGGAAGAGGTTGGAATACAAAAATTACAGTGGCCAGCCCGTAGCCCGGACTTAAATCCAATTGAGCATGTATGGGGTATGTTCAAAAGAAAGATAAAGTCCAGCTCCAAACCGCCACAAACTCTAAATGAGCTCCGAAATGCAGCGCTGGCCGCTTGGGACAGCATACCGCAAGTTGATGTCAGAAACATCATTCAAAGCATGCCAGATCGAATGCAAGCGGTTATCAGGGCTAGGGGAGGAAACACCCGATATTAAAACTGATAGACAATAAAGAAACAGACTTAATTTTTAACTTTGTAGTGTTTTTAAAGTGACAATGAAAAGATGTTAATTTTAGTGAAAACATATTATCTTGAAAAGAAAAATTTCGGTGAAGTAAACATTAAATTTCTACGTTCTAAAACCATTAGAGACACTTATTGAATGCATTTACCCTTAATTTACTGTTAAAAAAACGTTTCAGTGCAAATAATCAGCAAATTCACGAGTGGCCAAGTTTCCGTGCCGGTGAGGTATAAGACACAGTAGCGAAACATTATAGACAGTGAGTGGCAGCTGCGGCCCATAAATAACCTACATCTGTTTTTGATTAAGAATTAAAGTGCAGATGTGTGTTCTTTCTTTGGACTCTTGCAACGTTTACATTGTGTAAATAAGGTCTTAACAACTAATTATATTTATGTGAAGACTAAAAATTAAATAAAAATGATTTTACGGATTTTATCAGGTTTAATTTAAACTTTTTAATCCCCGACGTTTCGGGTGCATTAACCTCTACGATTTGGCACATGATGTTTCATGATATTCCTTGTCGTAAGTTTAAAATAATTCATTTTATATTATATGAATATCAATATTTATAAAAGTATTCGCTTTGCATTGCTTGGTTAAAAATTAAAATCACGATAAAATAGAAAAACCTAGTATTATATAAACCTACCTAGTATTAAAACCTAGTATTAAACCTAGTATATTTTAACGGTGGTAGAGCCTTGCAGCAGCTTTTGCTGTAGCACGTATGGGCCGGCTCGAGCCGGGTTAGTACCACGACCTCACAGAATACCGGCGTAAAGTGGAAGCTCTGCTTCCGCGTTTCGTCTGGTGAGTGCAGGTGACCGGATGCCCAATTCCCCCCCCCCCCCCCCCATCAACATGGTAACGGAATTACGTCATAAACTACCCCAGGAGGGTACCAGTACCCCTGGAGAATCCCTCGCTGAGCATCCACGACCATGCTATTCCACTCCTGAGCGTGGGTGCTCAGGCTGCCCCGCGTATTCTGGGGTGGGGGGGGGGGCAAAATTCCGCTCAACACAATAACTGCTTGGGGCAAACTGAGCAACAAGACCAAGGCGACCCCTGCCACGCTATCCGTGAATTTCTGCAACATCAGGAGACTTCACTCGAACCTAAACGCCGTCCACTACCATCTTGAGACGGCGAAGCCGGCCTTGCTCTTTCTGACCGAGACGCAGGTGTCCTCTCCGGCTGATACTTCGTATCTCTCCCACCCGGGGTACAAATTGGAGCACTCCTTTGTGCCTCGGGCTGGAGTTTGCGAGTATGTCAGAGAGGACTTCTGTTCTCGACGCCTCGGCAGTCTTGAAGGTTCGGACCTGTCCATCCTTTGGCTACGCGTAGACAGCGACGACCATCCGCGCGTCTACGTGTGCCTCTATAGGTCCCATAGCGGTAATGCCGAAACAGACCGACTCATCGACCACGTCCAAATGGCTACAGATTCCTTGCTACAACAGGTCCAATCCGCAGAGATCGTGATCCTTGGCGATTTTAACGCCCACCACGCCGAATGGCTCGGTTCATGTTTAACCGATTATGCGGGGAGATCTGTTTATGACTTTGCCTTGGCATATGGTCTGACACAACTGGTTACATCGCCTACGCGGATTCCAGATGTTGAGGATCATACACCTTCCCTGTTGGAACTTCTGCTGACCTCTCATCCGGACGGATATCAGGTTTCCGTCGATGCCCCTCTTGGCTCTTCGGACCATTGTCTGATCCGGAGTGTGGTGCCACTCACGCTCCCCTCGAGGTTGCGTTCTGCAGGTTGCCGCCGTGTTTGGTATTACAGGTCGGCGGATTGGGACGGAATGCGGTCTTTCTTTGCTTCCTACCCATGAGGGCGGGTTTGCTTCTCGCCGGATGATCCCAGCGCTGTTGCTGACTCTGTCACTGATGTAGTGCTACAGGGAATGGAACTATTTATTCCATCATCTGTGGTACCCATCGTAGGCAGATCTCAGCCTTGGTTTGTTCGCTCCTGTAAGACTGCATTACGCAGTAAGCAGGAGTGTTATCAAGCCTGGGCTGCGGCTTCGGTGACTCGGGATGTAAACACCAGCACACTCAAAAAGAAGTATAACTTCGCCTCCAGGTCCTTCAAAAGAGTTATTGCCAAGGCAAAGTCAGAGCACATAGGCAGAATTGGCGAGAAACTAGTTCGCCTTCCTTCGGGAACCCGTGCATTCTGGTCTCTCGCCAAAGCTGTCCAAGGGAATTTCTGTAAGCCATCACTACCATCTCTGCACAGGGAGGACGACTCACTGGCCCACGACGCAAAAGAGAAGGC